GGAGAGCGGTCCATCGCTGGCGGCGGCGGCGGCGGTGGCGGAGCCGGAGTGGGAAGAGAGAAATCCAACCTGCGAGCGCAGCAGGAGGGCCTAGCGGAAGGATCGGCACGCGTGCGCGGCCCAGTAAGCCCGGTTAATTCTGACAGGCCGTGAATATAGGTGGACGGATTTTGGGCTTGGATGCAAGCTTCACTTTTTTTTTAGCTAGGAGTGATAGTATATCCAGAGCAACCCCCGCTATGGGTAGTCTTACTGCCATGGAGCATGCCTCGTTTATTGCTGAAGGGTCTTCTTGGTCTCGACGTTTGTTTCTTCAACCGTACAAGCGCTAACCAATTTATTACGGCGCCAGCGCCACTAGTCCGGGAATGTATCTGGTGCACCCGCACTTGTGGTGCTACCGGTGCACCGGATGCCATAGAATATTTTTAAAAATCTGAAGAAAAAAATCTAGCACGTTAACACAATATCAATGTATGATTTCACAAGATTTAGTGTAAAAATTTGAAATATTTTTTGAGATACAAAAATGATAAATTTGACATCAGTGTGATAACGGGCCAAATATGAAGCCCAAGTTATGTTATGTACTATTCAGTGTTGAATTTGTCGTTTTCGTTTTTCGAGTTATAGTTCAAATTTTGACTTAAAATTTTGTGACAACCTACATTGATGTTGTGTGAGTGTGCTAAAAAAATTTCAGAATTTTTTGAACATTTTAAAATCACAATGTGAGTTCGGTGCATCGGTAGCACCACAAGCTCTGGTGCACCAGATATGTTCCCCCACTAGTCCCACTTTTAATCCCCTGAAACTGAGAGAGGCCCTTCGGCAGGAGGAGGTTTGGCTGCGGCAACGTTCGCGAGTCCGATGGCTACGTGCTGGTGATCGCAATACATCCTATTTTCAAGCCCAGGCAAAGCAACGGAAATCGTATGAATCGTATTGTTGGTCTGAAGAGACAAGATGGTAATGTTTGTGAGAATTCTGATGAAGACAAGGCCGAAGTGCAAGCTTTCTACCAAAACCTCTATACTTTTTTTTGCTGGTGACCAAACCCTCTATACTTCACAAGGTTTAACAACATGGATCAATTATTACAGTTTGTCCTGGAAAGAGTCACACCGGAGATGAATCTGGATTTTGGGAAACCATTTGAAGCTTCTGAAGTACATACAGCGGGTTTCTTCCAGCGACACCAGTCTGTTGTTCAGAAAGACCTAGTGCCGGTTGTGTTAGATTTCTTGAACGGTGGGGAGATGCCTACTGGCCTTAATGACACATCTATTACATTAATACCCAAGGTTCGGCATCCACAGTCCATTACACAATTCCGTCCCATATCTCTCTGCCCGGTGCCATATAAGATTGTTGTCAAAGCTATTACTAGCCGCTTGAAACAGTGGATGGATTCAATTGTGGGAGAGGAACAAAGTGCGTTTGTCCCCGGATGCTTGATTACGGACAATGTGTTGGTTGCTTTTGAAAGCATTCATTCCACGAAGAGAAGGAAAAAAGGGGAAAATTTCCTCATGTGCTATTAAATTAGACATGATGAAAGCTTATGACCTGGTTGAGTGGCATTACCTGGAGGCCATACTTCTCAGACTGGGTTTTGGACATGATTTTGTTAGGCTGATATGAAGTGTGTCATGTCAGTCAGGTTCTCTATAAGGATGCATAGGGAGTTTGTTACCTCTCTTTACACCCTCACGGGGGTTAAGACAAGGATGCCCTGTATCACCCTTTCTATTTTTGCTCTGCGCAGAAGGGCTTACCTCCCTGCTGAATCATTATGGTGGAAACTTTGTTGATAGAGGGGTCCGCGCTTCTTCCAGAGCACCGTGGGTTAATCACCTCTTGTTTGCCGATGACAGTCTTATTTTCATCAGTGCAACCGAAGAAAGTGTTGATAGGCTAAACCAAATTCTGCAGCTATATGCAGACTGCTCCGGTCAGAGTGTCAACAAAGACAAGAGCTCAGTTTTCTTCACTACAAATACTCCAACTCCAGTCTGGCATAGAGTGAAACAGAGGCTTGATATTTTTGTGGAGGCTTTTAGTGAAAGATATCTTGGTATTCCTACAGCTGTGAGAAGGTTCACCAGTGAGACTTTCGATCATATTGGAGAAAGAGCTCGTGGCAGTATGCAGGGATGGTCCGAGCATAACTTTGCTTGCGCAGGAAGAGAGACTTTGCTGGAGTCTATCATCCAAGCTATCCCTATTTTCAGCATGTCATGTTTTCGGCTTACGAAAAAAGTATGTAAAAAATACACCTCAAATATGGCTAAATACTGGTGGAGTAGCTCTCTGGACAAAAGGTCTTTGCACTGGATTTCCTGGAAGGCGCTTGCATCCCCTAAAGTCAATGGTGGAATGGGATTTCGAGACATGGAACTCTTTAATTTAGCGCTTCTTGGCAAACATGGTTGGAGGTTCATGGTCAATCCCGATTCCTTGTGTGCCCGTGTCATGAAGGGCAGATACTTTCCGGATTCAAATTTTATGCAAGCTACTGTTCCACAGTCTGCTTCTCCAATTTGGCGAGCGATTGTGGTCGGACGGGAGGCTCTTCGGGCGGGCATGATCATGCGCGTCGGCGATGGCCGTTCTATATGAATTTGGGATGACAAATGGATACCAGGTACCATACGTATGTCCCCTATGCTCAGACCAACTAATACATCTCTACAATCAATGCACGAACTCATTGATGATGGTACTTGGACATGGAAAACGGAGCTTGTCCATGAAACATTCCTAGCCCCGGATGCAGAAGCTATACTGAATATACCAATCCGTACTGGTGGTGGGGAGGACTTCTTTGATTGGGCTTTCGAAAATTCAGGTGTGTACTCTGTAAAGTCGGCGTACCGTGCTCTCGTGAATCAAAAAGAGCGTTTGGCTCTAGAGGAAGGGACGGTTACCGGTACCTCAAAATCAGAACAACAGATGTGGACATCTCTCTGGAAGCTCAAAGTTGTGCCTAAGGTGAGGGTGTTTTGGTGGAGAGTGCTGCGTGGAATTCTCCCTGATGAAGCTACCCTTAAGCATAAACACATTAAACCTCTTAGCATTTGCAATGTTTGCCTCGCTAGAGAGGAGGATCTCATGCATGCTTTGGTCTCCTGCTCCCATGCACGTAGATTCTGGGATGAGGTGCAAATATGGTTCGACTTTCGTCTTCCAAGGCTGCATCCTACCACTTGGGCGAGAGATATTTTGTGTGATGACAGGTTCACGGACCAAGTCAGAGCAAAAATCATATCCTGATGTGGGCCATTTGGCATTCAAGGAACCGATGGACTCATGAGAAGGAACATGTGGATCTGGTGTACTCTGTTCGTCGCATAAGAGAAGATCTGGCCTTGCTAGATATACCAGCTGCACAAGCTACTATACTGCCAGGGCACGGATAGCGACCCCCTGATATTGGGTTTATCAAGATCAATGTTGATGGTGCTATAAATTCTGAAGTAGGACTCGCTGGTGCCGGCGGTGTTGCTCGTGCTTCTATGGCATTGATCGCTTCATGGTGCAAACCACATGTGGGAGTAACAGACCCACTCATTGCCGAAGCCTTATCACTAAGGGAGGGAGTTCTCTTTGCTCGCTTGCGAGGCTTCTCACACGTGATAATGGAAACCGACTGCCTGGAGATTGTGAATCTCTGGAACACTCGCCACAACTCTCGTTCGGTTGTGGTCCATTTACTTGTAGAGATTGGAGAGCATGCTTTGTCTTTTGATTTCTTTGTTATTCAACATGTATACAGGTCAGCTAATATCCCGGCCCACCTTTGTTCGAAGCGTGCCAGCTCGCTGATGGTGACCGAGAGTTGGCTCGACTCTGAACCCTCATTCCTGATCAGTAGCCTGATAGCTGATGATCCCAGGAGCTCTTTTGTTTGAATAAATCTCTCATAATTGCCCGCAAAAAATAATCCCCTACTGTCCCTACTTTGTTCATCTCGTTTCACTTCCTCTTTCAAGTCGCATATGGCTTTGAGGAACCATCAGATAGTCTATATGGCTATTGCAACAACACAGTGCTGATAGTTTGACACGTTGGTTCACTTATAACACTTCACGAATAATGGTTTAAAAACCATGACTCTAACCTACCGTCTGCTACCTCTTGAGCACTACGTTGGATTTCCCCGGAGAGGAAGGGATGATGCAGCAAAGTAGCGTAAGTATTTCCCTCAGTTTTTGAGAACCAAGGTATCAATCCAGTAGGAGGCTATGCTCGAGTCCCTCGTACCTACACAAAAACAATAGCTCAACGCAACCAACGCGCTTAGGGGTTGTCAATCCCTTCACGGTCACTTACGAAAGTGAGATCTGATAGAGATGATAAATAATATTTTTGGTATTTTTGGTATAGAGATGCAAAGTAAAAAGTAAAAGCAAAGTAAAAGCAAAGCAATAATAAAGTGATGGAGATTGATATGATGAGAAAGAGACCCGGGGGCCATAGGTTTCACTAGTGGCTTCTCTCAAGAGCATAAGTATTCTATGGTGGGTGAACAAATTACTGTTGAGCAATTGACAGAATTTAGCATAG